AAAATGTAAGCACATAAAGTCAGCTACATAGAATTTGAACTCCTGAATTAAAGACAGAATACAGAACCAACAATAGATAAATTTGGTTTATAGATAGAGCATTTGATACCTTCTGCTTTATTTTCAGGAGGCTTCCAGTGAAGAAATCATTTAGTAATTCATTCCAGAGAATAAATTTTTAAAAGGAAAACAAAAGGGATAATTCAACCACAAGCAGTTAGATCCAGTCTACCCATCATGCATGATGTGCATTCACAGAACTCAGCATTAGTTATGTTTAGTTTAGTCCCTGTTTTAAGCATATTTGGATGAGCACAGATCCAGAGCTGACTCACCAAATACATTGGATATTTTGAATTGTTTCAGAAAGACTTAATGCTGGGAAATACAGTATATTCTCCAGTTGGATAAATGCCAAAAGGCAGAATCCTCTTGGCTAATGAGCAATTATGAGCAATGGGCAATAACTTTCTGCAATTTGTAGGAGATGGTCTGCAGTGGGGAAACAGTTTAAGGGGCTGAGGACGGATTAGTTATTTCACCTGAACTTTCACTTTATTATTTTAAAATTCCAAAGATGTATTGTTGTTAAGCAGAATTTTGGATTCATGAATTAGGTAATCATTTCATCCAGGGAAATTTCATAAGCATTGGTTAAAACAGAATAAAAATAAAATAAGCACATGGAACTTTTGACGTTGAAGTGTGAGTATCCACGTTATGCCATATCTTTCCTTTTTCTTCCAATTTTTCTCTTTATCTTTGAACGATAAGCCAATAACTCTTTCACTGAGCATTTTCAATTTCTTTAAGAATTTTTTTGGGGGGGCAGGGGGTCATTCTGCATGCACTGATGTTATATCATTTATTTAATAAAATGATATGCTGCCCATGTCATGTTTTGAGCTGACATTACAATCTTCTTACATGTTACATGCATGAATTGCGCCATTTAGCCATCACCTCCACACATCAGAAATAGAGATACTGCCATTTTTATCCTATCCAAATTAGTTTTATTGGATCAAATTAGATTTTGTTGTGGTCTATTGGCTGCCAGCCCCTCCAGCAGCCGAATCAGATGAGGAGGTGGTGTGGGTGTCAGGGCCAGCATTAAGGCAACTTGAGAGCTCCAAGGGGGAAGAAGGAATGGAGCTGTCAGAGCTAGAGACAGAGGCAGAGCCTGGGCTTTCCATCAGCCCTCAGATGGAGAGTCAACAGCCCCCAGGTCTGGATGTGGCTGATGAGGAAGAAGAGGAACAACTGGGTCCAGTGCCTGACACGCAGATGCGTAGACGGCAGGAGAGGAGAGCAGTGGAAATCTATGAGCCGATCCTTGGGACGGAAGAGCCACCACTGCTAGTGAAGCCCCATCCTAGCTGTGGAGATAAAAGGCAGGGGGCAGAGATGAATAGGTGTGGCAGACAACTATTCATCTTCCTACCGGACAGACTTGTTAGCCTGCTGTGAGAAAGAGACTGTTTGACAGGGCTGCTGGCACTCCTAATAAAGGATTTAACTACAGATAATTTGTTGTGTTTTGGGAGAACAGATTTATTGTCTTTTGATAGAATAAGGATTTCCATATGCTAACGTATTTCCCATGAGGATTGCTGTACAATCAATTCTTCTACACAGACATCTTTGTCATCAACAGGAGCATCACCCAGGACGGCCTACATGAATATTTACCTCAGGATACCACAATAAACATGACGACTATTTTAGGTAATAACTTGATTGTTAGCCTAGAAATAATACCATTAAATATTTTTAAAATGGCTAGTTTGAATTTTGGAAGCATAAGATTTCCAGAGAAGGAACACAGGAAGATTCATCAGCAAGTAGTCAGCAAGTCTTATAGTCAGCAAATCATGTAAAAAATGACGTGAAGTAACAGTAAATCTTTCCCATCTTAAGGGAATCAGGCAGTGATGGGATTCAATTTTTTTACTACCTGTTCTGTGAGCATGGCTTGGTGGATATGGCATGGCTTGGTGGGGGTGGTTTGGTGGGCATGACAGGGGAAGGATATTGTAAAATCTCCATTTCCATCCCACTCCAGGGGAAGGTTACTGCAAAATCCCCGTTTCCTCCCAATCAGCTGAGACTCGGGAAGCAGAGAATAGATGGGGGAGGGGCCAGTGAGAGGCGGTATTTACTGGTTCTCCGAACTACTCAAAATTTCCGCTACTGGTTTTCCAGAACTAGTCAGAACCTGCTGAATACCACCTCTGGAATCAGTGTAAGGATAGTTGCACCTAACTACACTCTCAGAAAAGCTGAAGTGGCCAATTTGGACAGTCTTCTCCACAATGGGATTACAATTGATCTGATCAATAGAGACACATGGTGACTGTGGCATTCAGAGAGTCAAGAATCAACACATGTAGAAGACGTCTGATTCTGAAATAAGGCTTTAAAGAAATAACTGTTCCTAGCTCCATAATAATTTTGTTGGGCAAATTTTTTTTTATTTGGTGCAAAAAACCATCTTTGACTTGAAACTATGCTAATAGTTTTGTCTTTGTTCATCTGTGTCTGTCTACATGACAAGTATATTATAGCAATCTTTCAGAACAATGTCTTTGTCTGATCTCAAGCCCGTAAGTAAGCATGAAGCCAACCTTATCTCTGTTAGTGTTAAAGTCATGTTTCACCTTAATGCAACATAGTTTTGCTGTAGATATTATCTAAGACATTCTGCTGACCATTTTGTTAGCAGTACAGCCAGCTTAACATCAATTGCTCACTTTAGCTGGTGCAGGCCTGACTCTTCTGTTCAGCCAACATCTTTTCCTTGGGACAAAGAGAACAGTTGCTTTCAAATCAAGCTCTCATCTTTACCTCGATCAGCCTCAATAGCAGCTGTCCAGGGGTGGCAGATGTAAGGAGAAAGCATACATGGTGAAGAAGTGGGAAAGAGAGTTATTTCTCTCTCTGCTCCTGATAACTATGAAAGAACTTTCCCAACTTCGGGAAGCTACTATTTAGGCTGATTTTGAAGACAACTTTAATGTTGTTTTGGAATAGCATTATTTTGGTGTAAACTGCTGAGTGTCAACTGGATTACAGCAGCATACAGAAATAATAAACAAACAAACAAACAAATAAACAGCTGATATAAGCTGCTCTTCGATCTCCTTCTTTTGATGTTAATAGTACCAGATAATTGTACTCAAAGCAATTTACTTTATGCCCTAGCTACATTCATGAATATATGTTCAGGGCATGTTTATCCTCTGACTAGTAATGTTTGATGAGAATGCAGAGAAACAAAATTCTGCCAATCCTTGTTCTTAATGACTTGTATGTGGTAGACAGCACCATTACCACCATGGTACCCATGCAGGATAGGGTTTGTCAGAGAAGATGGCAAGGTTTATACCAATGTATTACTTGGAGGACACTTCTACTCAGTTGTAAGAAAGAGTTTTTTGAGTTCTCATTCAAGAGTGAAAGGAATGTGAGTCCATACCTTAAACAAGAGTCGGTGAGTTCATGTATTAAATGAAACCATTTAAAGCATTGTTTGTTGAACTACTTTAAAATAAAACCCAGTCAAATAATGTCTTCTCCCACCCAGAAGAGTACAAATGTGTGAATATAAATATCTTATTGTCTCAGAGACAGCACTCTTCAACTGTAGAGCAAATGTCAAAGGATTCGTTGGGTTGGACTTTTTTCCGTCTCTTGCATAACCAACTTTCTTCACTTCCACAATGCAACCAGGTTTCCACCCATATGTCTGTCATTGCTCAATTTTCCTTCATTAATGTTTTTCTGCTGAAATCTGGTCCATTTCCTTGGAACTCATTACTTCTACATTTTGCCTGGCCCTTCCTCTTTTGATTTTTGTTTGTTTGTTTGTAGCAATCAATGGCTCCATACTCTTCTTAGTAGGAAATATAGTGATGTATTTTAATAAGTGAACATTTGTGGTGCATTTTCAAGCTAATTCTTTTTCCTCTAATCATATCAATAGAAAGGAAGAGGAGAATAACCATAGCTTTGTGAGCACACTCTTTTCATGAAAAGATCCTGGGTTCAATCTTTGAGTATGGTGAGGAACAGCTGCTTTTAACTGCCAATCAATATTGTATTTAAGAGAGAATGGTCTGATTCACAATGATACTCATGGCTGGTCCATCACACTAAAAGGCTATAATTTATTTGTGAGTAACAAATCAAAGAGAATCGGTAGGTAGATAACAGAAAGAAATATGCATAGACCAATCTCTTGAAAAAGCATGCAACAGAGGATTTAAATTATCCTGATGTCATCTGGTAATGTAACTCTGCAAAAACTCCGAGATCCAAAACATTGCTGTCCTCTCTTTCTGACAACTCCGTTTGTCAAAGGAAATGAAAGAAATTACACTGGGGTCTCCTAGCCTGTACATAATCCCCACAAATAAGTAAGAATTAGATGAAGTATTAAAGTTGGCATCTCGAGGGATCATGTAAAAATTGAATATAAGCTATCCAAAAGAGGAACTAAAGCTTGCATGCTGAGCTTCAGATAGTGATGAACTTCAAAGGTTTTTCAGATTACAGATCCATCAGTCTGACATGTACCATAAGGCAAGACATTCAAACTGATCATTATATTTATAAGCATTGCATAAGCATGCTGCAATTTCAGGATAAAAAGCAGAGTTGGTTTAATTTCTTTTCATCCCAACAATGTCTTTAAATAACCTGTCTGAGAAACAAAACAAGTGATGTTGACGAAGTTACCTAATGGGTAACGAAACATCAGTAAGCAAACAACCAGGCTCAGAGAGCACCAAGAACTCCACAGTAAAACCAGCTTTTGCATCATCAAGTCATCCCACCTCCTCCTCTATGACTCATGATACCAACATAATTCATTTCAAACATTTTTTTAATGTTAAAACATCCTAAATAACTTAAGTTGAGCTGCCAATTGCATGGAGAAGACGTTTAATGAAAACATGGAAGGGCAATATTGGAAGCAAGGATCAAAAATGATCTACCTTGTTCTGGAATGGTTCTGTTGACATGGTTGCCAGGTCCATTTTATCACAGGATGAGGAATGCCATAAACAATGCATGTTAAAATTTGTTTAGTTCCCAGTTGATAGAGATTGGGACCAGGAATTGATGATACTTTTTCATAAATCTGAGGTTTCACTGTTAACAAAGAAGAACAGGAGTAAACTGAAATCTTATTCTAAAATAAAATGGAAAGAATTACTGTTTCAAAAGTAAAACTTTGAAGCCTCTTCCACCTACAGTTTGTGTTTTGATCTGACATAATTGCTGCCTATATGTGTCCCAACAACACAGCTTTCAATGGCCTTGGAAAATCAGAATCAGTTTGTTCTCTGCTTCAGAAGTGCTGCAACAGCAGTTTTGCAATGCTTGTTCTGGATCTACAGTTTTAGGGACTTCCAACCTGTCTTAACTACTTCCTCTAGAATTTCCTCCTTCCCTCCAGAATCCAAGTGGTGGCCTCCTTCTGCCCTTTCCCCATTAAACAAAAAATTACATTCCTCATCTGACGGTGACTAGCTTATTTTTCCCCTGTTCTTTTTGTAAGAAGCCAATGAATTGAGGTGAAGAGGGAAGATTTTTGAAGGAAATCTTTTTGAGGGAAGATTGCCCGCCACAACATCCTACTTGTCGATGACTACTTCAGCTTCAACCACAATAAAACATGGGCAAACAATGGATACAAACTCAAGGTAAACCGCTCCAAACTCTATTGCAGAAAATATAACTTCAGCAATGGTGTTGTTACATCCTCAAACCCCCAAAACTTTAACCTTAGACTGTCTACTGTTTACCTCACCCCACATCTAAGAGGTCTGTAAGGGGGCGTGCATAAGCACACCATCTCATGCGTTCCCTGTCCTACTGTCCCCATTTATTCCTACCCATTTCCTGTGTCCATGTCCATGTTTATATTTATGCCTGTTATCTCGTACATGTTTGAATAAACAAACAAACAAACAAAAATAAATAAATAAATAAATAAATAAAATGAAAAATGACATTGCCTGACTCAAACAACCCATTTGCATGGACACATAGGACATAAGCTAATCAGCTGGTGACACAAAAGTTGAATATGGAAATGCCATTTTTTAAAGACACTAATGCCTTTGTCAGAATGATTTTAGCATAGCAACATGATCTCTGATAATGAAAACCTTTTTTTTTAGAATACTTATGTTTAGTCAGAATTTAAGATAACTTAATTTAAATAAACAGGATTGCAGCTTACTGTCATGGATAGTAATGTGTACTCACCATTTATTCTGAGTGTCATTGTTAAATTTTTTTGTAGGTTCCACTGCCGGGTGCTCAACATTATAGTGTAGTTTCCGGCATCTTCTTCAGCAACATGTTTTATAATGAGTGAGAAATCTCTAATTTTATATCTGGCACACATTTCAGCTGCAGGTAACCCATCCTTTAACCTGGGGAGAAAAAAATCAAATCCATAATTGCTTATGATGTCACTGCATAGGTTACCTATGTAATATATAAACTTTTCAATAGGAAGCAAGCAGAGGACATTTTTTTATGGATCAAGGACTACACTTATTATTCTTTTTAGTAGCATGCTAGAGGCACACATCATATGAAGAAACAGGAACAGCAGGTATAAAAACTGAAATTGGTATCATTTAAATTGCATGAACGTGGTTAATATGATTACTCTTCAATTGTGTCTTTACTAATTTCCCATTTACATCCATGAAAAATGATAACATTTAATGACAGGCTTTGAATAATGTCTAGGGCAGGGGGTCTCCAATCTTGGCAACTTTAAAACTTGTGGACTTCAACTCCCAGAGTTCCTCAGTCAGCTTTGCTCTGGGTGTTAAAGTCCACAAGCTTACAGTTGCCAAGGTTGGAGACCCCTGGTCTAGGGCAGTGTTTCCCAACCTTGGCAACTTGAAGATGTCCGGACTTCAAC